ATGAAGCCTTGCTGTTGGGGCAGAACTTTGTATTGGGGAGGGAGAAGTTCCCCACCCAACCCACTGTGGACTTAGCCAAGAAATTTTTCCTCAAGTATTACCCAAGGTGTCAAGTGGGAGCTGTATGACTCAGCCCCTTACCTGTACCACCTGGGACCTCCACCAGTAGTTCCTTGTACTTTTCAGCTCCCTCCTAGGATCATAAGTCCTATCAGTGGCCTAGCTTGGGACCCTTGGCAGGGCATAGGTATAGAACCATGCACAGTTCTTGGAGATAGTCTCTCTCTCTTGCTTACAGCTGGGCTGTGTCTGGTCCCTAGAGTCAGGAACTGGCCTGGGGTCACTGAAGAGACACTTTTAGCTGGGATGGAAAGTGGGTCCCGTGAATTGAGAATAATGGAGCAGGTTATCCATGCCACTCTCTCATCTACTCCAGAACTGGAAATTAAATCATTGTTTTCCATCTCAGTGAATCAATAAATCACTACTGGAGCATGTCTATCTAGGCCTGTCCTCAAAGGAGCCAAGCAGCAATGTGTATAGATAGAATAATAAAGTAGATATGACTGGCAAAGTCCATCTACTCCCTTCCCTCCACCCAGCTTGGAAAGCAGCTAGATTTGACTCCAGGCTTCTGTCCCTTGCCTCAGTTTCCCCCACCCACCTTTCAGAGAAGGTAATACTTTTCCCTGTGATGCCTGTCAGCAGATTAGACTTGAGGAGAGAGGGGGGAAAGTGTGAAGAAAGGGGCAGTGAAGGCTCACTGGCCTTGAGATAATGAAGTAGACACAACAAAGGAGGCTGGGGGCTTGAGAAAAAGGAGGTGCCCTTGGGGCTCAAGGGCTGGGCCAGCCTCTGCATCCTAGCCCTTTGCCTCGGATTCCTTCCTTTGCCTGTCTCCCAAATCTGTCTCTTCCTGGTTTCTCTGTCCTGTCTCTTTCTATGGAGCGGAAGGTAGTTCTCATCACCGGCTGTTCCTCTGGAATCGGTCTGCATCTGGCACTGCGCCTGGCGGCTGATCCTTCAGGCAGCTTCAAAGGTGGGAAGAGAGCGGGGGCCAAAGACCCCGGAGGGGTGGAGGGGTGCCTGGTTTCAGGTGACGAGGGAAGGGAAGATTTGTGTCCTCGAGGAAGCCCTAATTCCAGGCAATCCTCACTCAACTCAGTGTACGCCACTCTACGGGACCTCGGGTCTCAGGGCCCGCTGTGGGAGGGCGCAAGGGCTCGAGGCTGCCCTCCAGGCTCCTTGGAGACACTACAGCTTGACGTGACCGACTCCTGCTCAGTAGCAGCTGCCCGAGACCACGTGACCGAGGGCCGAGTGGACATCCTGGGTGAGATTACCGGACCCCTTGGGTCCCCTTCCCGACTTAGGCAGAGGAGGTGTAGGTTCCCCCTCCCAGGACCATTCCTTACCTTCTTTCCCGGTCATTAAGAAGTTGGAAGTGCCTGGGGATCTGGGGAAGCTTTGGAGCTTCCACTGTCTTGTCTGATCTCAACTTTGTTCTGTCCTACCTCTAAACACTTGAAAAAGTGTTCTAAACATTGTTGTTGAATAGTGTTTTCTGCCTGAATGAAACTGAGCTGCAACGCTTTTAAAGCTGAGGATGCAGAAGCCTGGTTGGATTGGGGAGGTTTGACGGGATGTTCCTGGCCCAGCATAACGCTGCTGGGGAGGAGGGGAAGCAGTAGGGTGGCAACGAGGCATTGGCTCCTCTCTTCAAGTATGTAATGCTGGCCGTGGCCTGGTCGGCCCACTGGAGGCCCACACGGTAGAAGCTGTGGGCTCCGTGCTGGACGTGAACGTGGCGGGGACAGTCCGTACGCTCCAGGCTTTCCTTCCGGATATGAAGCGACGCCGCGCGGGCCGGGTGCTTGTCACTGGGAGCATTGGCGGGATGATGGGTGAGCTGGGGGAGGCCAGGTGTTGCTGGTTGTAGGGGCACACAAGACGATTGTGGGCACTGGTCGGGCATGGGGACTGGGGCATCCAGGTTTTATAGCTCACTCACCTTCTCTCTTGTTCTCTCTTGGCCCCCAAAGGCTTGCCCTTTAATGCAGTTTACTGCGCTAGCAAGTTTGCCCTGGAGGGTCTATGTGAGAGTCTGGCTGTGCTGCTGCCACCCTTCGGGGTCCAGTGAGTAACCAGGATACCCCGGGGCACCCCAATTCCCTTCCCCTCAGGGACAGCCCCAGCAGTCTTGTCCCACTAGAAGCTCTGTTTAAGACTGCACCCCTTCTCCCACTTCCTCTTGCTACAAGTGTAGAGTAGAAGTAACTCTGGATCCAGCATCAGTGGCCTTGGACTCTGCCACTTCCGAGCTATGTAACAATTTCTTGGGGTTCAGTTTCCTCAAATGCAGACCAAAAAAGTTGCATCTCTAAGGTCCCTTCCAGCACAAACGTTCTATTATTCATGTACGCACATCATTTACGTGCCTAGTCATCGCCTAATTCTGGAGGGGGAGGTTAAGGTGAGGGGAGGGTGCTGGGACCAAAGAGTGGAACCAGGATGACGCCTCCCCATCCTCAGCCGCCGTTTCTGCACTCCCAGCGTCAGCCTCATAGAGTGCGGCCCTGTACGAACCGCTTTCCAGGAGAAGCTGGAGGGGGGTCCTGGCGGAGCACTGGGAAGCACCGACCTAGAGACTCGGGCTCTGTTTTCCCGCTACCAGAGCCACTGTGAGCGGATCTTCCGGGAGGAGGCACAGGACCCAGAGGACGTAGTGGAGGTGGGGTGTAGCAGGGACTCACTACTCTCCTGGAGATGGGGCAGAGGGAGCACCTGAGGAGGCCCAGAAACAGATATCTGGGGCGTGGGGCGAAGGCGACAGGGGCTGGGGTCCTGCGCGTACTTCTGCCCAGGTTCTCTTTTTCTTTTCCCACATCAGGTGTTCGTCCGAGCGCTCAGTGCCCCTCGCCCTGTCCTGCGCTATTTCAGCACTGAGCGCTTCCTGCCACTTGCCGAGCTCCGACTCTCAGATCCTGGCGGCTCTCAATACGTAAATGCCATGCACCGAGCCGTCTTCTCCGAGCCCGAGGAAGGGGAGGCAGGTAGTGAAGCCAAAGGCCTCGAGAGCCCCTGAGTTAGAAGCGCCCTTCTTTTCACCCCAACAGATACTCTCAATAAAGTACCCTGCCCATATCGCCTAACCAGTAACTGGGTTACTTTGTTTTTGAAACAAGTTTTCCAAAGGGAAGCAGAGGTGGGAGCTCGTAGGAGAGGGCTGTTTGCCTTCTTCAGATGGCAAAACAAACGCTGGGAAATTGGAATTTTGGGGGGTATTGGAAAAACAAACAAAAATTTTTGATTGTGTAACAGGTTAGATCAGGTCTTACTACTTACTGACTTTGTCAATGTGTCACTTAAGGCAAGTTATTTCTCTGTTTTTCCTATGTAAAATTAATTCATTCACCTATTGTATCTAAGTCCTTGTGCAAAAATTAGGAAATTGGACTAAGTGGTTTAGATCGGCAGTGTCAAACACTTGGGGGGAGAGGGGGGAGGAGAGGAAGGTCGCACTGAGTTTGGCCTGAACCAGATTAAAATGTAATTTGGAAATTTTTAATAAAATAAATAATAACACAATACAACATAGGTAATGCTGGTTTTCTAAGTCAATATGCAGCTGAAGGGATTCTTATGAACGGGTTAATGACTCCATTTCTTTTTGAGTCTGACACCAGGTATAGATGATTCCTTCCAGCACTAACAGTGCTTGGTTTTAAGTCACTTAAGAACATCAGCTTTGATTACTGCACCTGTTTGAGCCCCAGTTTTCTCATGTGAAAAGTGGAGAAACCAGCCTTGCCTATCTCACTGGCTGTTGTGGCAAATCATTGACATAATAGGTATAAATGAGATTTTAAAAGTGTAGAGCCCCTGAAAATGTGAGCAATCATTACCAGGAAAGTAGTGGGGACAAGCACTGACTAGAGCCAATCCATCCAGTTCTCATTCTCCACCCTCCCCACCACTCCCTGCCCAGCTGCTGGAGAAGAAAGGCCCCTCTAATCCCCTACCACAGCTTTCTTCCCAGAAAAGCTGTTTGGGCAAGCTAGGGAGGGAAGCTACGTGTAACCCCATGAAGATATCTATCTGGCTGACTACCTCCCTACTCTGTAGAGCAAAGTCAAAGGGAAGGTCGGGATTCCCTCAACTGATGCCCTTCCATTCAAGGCAGATGGCTGAATAGGGGAGGACTACTGACATAAGGTAATGGTCTTTGACCCCTGGAACCAGAGCCCACATCTGAGGGGAGCTAGGAAGGGTAAGTGTACACTGCCACATAAGGGACAAAAGAGAAAGGATAGGACCAGGGAAAGGATCACCAAAAGGGAGGAGGTGGCTGTGGTTTTTCTCCCATTGACAGAAAGCCAGTAGACATAATTAGCCCAAAGCAAAGACATTCACTAAGATGGCATGGTAAGGACAGAAGCTACAAAACAAACTCCACAAATTCTGACACTACCCCAAAAACACACATAACAGCTATGGGAAGAATGGGCTTAAGAGTACAATGGTAGTAAGGCACACACATGAGGCAAAACTCAGAACTCTGATACCGACTGACTTCAGTGTTTATTATGAAGGACTCAGGAACCTTACCCACGAGGACAGCAGCATCTGTTGGGGAGAGGTGATTGCTTAAATGGGCTTTTGGGTCTGCTTCTCTCTGCAGAGGAACTTCTGAGTCCATAGCTAGCTCTTTGCTGCCACAGGTCTCACTGCTTGAAGGTGCTTCCTCCCTCAAGTGACTGCTTCACTTTGTACTCTCTGGAGAGCATCTCTGTCCCAAAGGCTCCTTGAATTCTTTCAAAGTGACTCTCCAACTACTGAATGGGTTGTGTATTTCTTGGTTGGGTTACCAATACTGTGAGTTGTAGTCACTCGAGTTGCATGACCTTTGGGGCGACGCTATATAAAGACTCCCTGGCTTTATTTATAAAGCTTCTGTAGTTAATTTTCAGCTCAACCAATGGCCAGTGGCTAGCCCTTTGGTTTGAAAATGAGAAAGGTTTTCCAAAAGGGATTAACAGGGTGGTAACATCTTATTAACACCTCATCATCTATCTTTGTCAGCCAGGGGGGAACAAAATATTCCCTCCTTTACACTTGTGTGTGTGTGTGTGTGTGTGTGTGTGTGTGTGCGCGCCGTCACAACTGGCAAACCACTTAACCAGCTTGGGCCTCAGTTTCCTCATTTGCAAAATGTCGGACTGGACAAGATGGCCTCAGCGGTCCCTTCCAGCTCTAGACCTATTGTTCCTCATTTCTCTCAGAGGTTCTTTTGCCTTGCGTGTAAAATTACCAGATCCAATTAGTCGCCAAGACGCCCTCCAGTTCTGACGAAACGCCTGACTCCTCCCGCCTCCGCCCTCTGGGCTCCTTCACTCCCCACGTGATCGCCCCGTCCCCTCCCACATCTCGCGAGATTCTCACTCACGGGGCCCGGAATAGCCAGGATTTCTCCGAGCCCAGAACCGCGAGCTACCTGATCCGGGGCAGCAGCACTTCTGGGTGGACTCTGGGGAGCGGCGGTAGCTGCAGCGGCGTCGGGAGAGGGAGCAGCCCGAATCTAGGGGCTCCGTGAGTAGCCGGGCCTGGAACTAGTGACAAACCCGATCTGTCACTGCCAGTAGGCGGCTCCGCCCCTTGGAGACAAGCTCCGCCCCTTAGAGACAGCTCGCTTTTCCCACATTTCTCTCTCCTCTGGGAAACAAGGGGAGATAAGGGTCCCAACGCCTGGGTTTCCTGCGTCGCCGTTCGGCCCCAGAGCCAATCCTTTCTTGTCCATTTCTGCGAGGTCCAAGACCTCCCCCTTCGCAATTAAACAAATCTGATCACGCATGCGCGAGTGTCCCACTGGGGTCAGGAGTCCAGGTTGCTCGTCGAAGAAGCTTACGCATGCGCAGACAATCCTAAGGAGGTTGGGGAGGTTTGGCTGGGTCTTAAAACCGTGCGCATGCGCGGCTACACCACCTAGGGGCCATTCACTGATCAGTGCTGTGCACCCCCAGCCCCATCCTGAGCTTCTCACATGTGTCCTCCCACAGGTGCCATCGAGGGGAACCGTCAGTGACTTGAGCAGTGGTAGTGACTTGTCAGCATGTCTGCCTTCCGATCCGGCCTCTTGGTACTGACGTCCCCGTTGGCAGCCCTGATCCCACGCCTGACACCCATTCTGACCTCTGCAGCTCGGCTGGTGGAGCAGACTCTGTACGTCCACCTGCAGCCTGGCCTCAGCCTGGGTGGGCCGGCCCAGCCTCACTCTAGCCACGTTCAGGCCACTATGGAGGTCATCAATCTCATCACCGGCCTCTATGCTGGTGCTGATGCCTATAGGCACTTGGACATCCGAATCCTGCTGACCAACATCCTTACTAAGAACCCAACCCCACCATCTTCACTTGGCTCTGTGCAGAACCTAGCCCACCCCCCTGAGGTGGTGTTGACAGATTTCCAGACCCTTGATGGGGGCCAGTACAACCCAGTTAAGCAACAGCTAGAGCGGTATGCCACCAGCTGTTACAGCTGCTGCCCTCAGCTGGTCTCTGTGTTGCTCTACCCAGAGTATGATCCAGGAGATACTTCCACAGACCCATCAGTGGTACCCCATTCCTCTGCTCTTTGGTCAGGCTCCCCTATGCCTACATCTCCCAAACACCCCCTACAGGGCTACAACCATGTGGTAGTAGGGGGAACATTTGACCATCTGCACAATGCCCACAAGTTGCTGCTTACTGTTGCCTGCCTCTTAGCCCAAAAGAGGCTCCTGGTTGGAGTAGGAGACAAATACTTGTTGGAAAGTGAGTAGATGAGTTTGGGGGTTGACTTGGGTTGGGGAGGTTGGCCGAGCAGGGGAAGATAAATTCTAATGTTCAGGTCTTGGGAGTGACCTTTGGATATGTGCACTTTATTCTCTTGCTCCCTTTGGAATTGAAATGTGGGTGGTATGGCCCAAGGCCATGTTAAGCTGAGCTTCAAAGGCTATATCTGTGTCTCTCACACTCCTCCAGGTCTCTTCCATAATGATCTCCCCCCTTCCTAACTGGCAGGTACCCTGGTCAGTGTAGCCTTCTCCATTAGTAATCACTGTTCCTTCCTCCACAGCCTGTTTGAATGCTACTCTTCTCAGTCAACCCCAACAAAAACAGACATCTAAGTACCCTCTCTGCCAATCACAACCACCCTCTTTCCATTTTTAGTTCTCTCCAGTACCCCCTCCCCCATCAAAGTACCTTCTTTTGCCTCCCTTCTTGCTCCATTTTCTCTCACTTCTTCCCTTAGATAAAGTGCTCCCGGAGTTAATCCAACCATATACATATAGGGTGAAACATCTGAGTGAGTTCCTGGTGGACATGAAGCCATCCTTGGTCTTTGACATAGTCCCCCTCCTAGATACCTACGGTCCAGCTGGCACTGATCCTTCCTTGGAGTGCTTGGTGGTTAGCGAGGAGACTTACCGTGGGGGGTTGGCTGTCAACTGCCGACGCCTTGAGAATGTAACTCCCATGGGAAAATGGGCAGGGGGAGTGCTTGGGAATAGGAGGGTGGGTGTATATGTGTTGTTTGAGTGGGCTCTCCAAAGACTTGGGGGAGGAGTGATACTTTAGAAAGGTACTGGGGAAAAAAAAAAAGAAAAAAGATACTAGGGAGTGAAACAAAAGCTTCCAGCTCGTATGCCAGTTCCTGGGTTGGCTATGATTCGGTCCTTAATTTCACCCTCTGAGTGGTTTGTGTAGCTTAAAAATGAGCCCTGGGGGTTCAAGGCAGAGCCCTGTTAATTGTCTCTGTTTTAAGATATCACCCCTTATTGCCTTTATCTCTTGCCACAGGGCCTGGAAGAGCTGGCTTTGTATCAGATTTTGTTGCTGAAGAATCCAGACCACAGTGAGAATGAGGAAGACAAAGTTAGCTCCTCCAGTTTCCGTCATCAAATGCTGGGAACCCTCCTTCAAACACCCAATGTAAATACCTTTCACTTCTAGAAGTTAAAAGTGCTGGTTCCCCTTGAAATGGGGAGTACTGGCTCTTAGTGGGAAAATACTCTTCTATTACTCTCATAGGGGGAGCCTATATGCACACACAGGGGCCCAAGTGGTTATCTTGATCTTAGTCTTCTAATCTCCCCATAGATGGCCCCTCCAACCTTGGCTTTTTCAACTTTTTCTCCTTTTGGCAGAAGAGACCAGACCTCCCCTCCAATGTCTATGTAGTGGGGCTGACAGGGCCAAGTGGCTCAGGCAAGAGTTCAGTGGCTCTGTTACTGCAAGACCTGGGGGCAAAGGTCATTGATAGTGACCAGCTGGGACATCGGGCCTATGCACCTGATGGCCCTGCCTACCAAACTGTGATAGAGGCCTTTGGAACCGGTATGTCTTGTAGGGAAAGGTGAGGTGGTTTCAGGGACTGAGAGTACAGAAACATCACACTCTTCTCACTTTGGTTCTTATTTCTGGCATCTTAGATATTCTCCATGAAGATGGCACCATCAACAGAAAGATTCTAAGTAGTCGAGTGTTTGGGAACAAGGTGAATACACTAATCTCTAAAGGGATCTGTGGCTCTCCAATTTTCCATGGACCATGCATCCTTGGCTCAAAACCCCTTTCTTTTTCCCTTACCCCTGGAGTTTTCTGTCTTTTGTTGGTAAGGGAAGTCTTTTAGTCGTTTTCATGTAGTTCCCCACCACTTCCTTGCAGCTTGTTGCTGCAAACCTAACAGCAGCTGGTTTGTTTTGTTACAGAGGTAGGACCAGGGAATAACATCTTCCCTGGTCCTCCCTCTGCTACTAGAAACAGTTGAAGAAACTCACAGACATTGTGTGGCCAGTCATTGCCAAGATGTGCCAAGAGGAGATCAACAAAGCTGCAGCTGAGGGTGAGTGTGAAGGACAAGAGCTTCGGAGGTCTGGGAGTAAAGTTCTTCCCTTGTCCCCTTCCCCTCCCTGTACCTCCAATCCAGGGCATCCTGCCCAACTGCCAGGCAAGCATATTCCAGGGAATCTCTGATCCAGGACCAGTGGCTGGGATGAGAGATCAGTAGAATGACTGGGGTCCACCTGCAGGGAAGACCGTATGCGTGATTGATGCGGCCTTGCTGCTGGAAGCTGGCTGGAACAACATGGTCCATGAAGTGTGGACAGTCATTATCCCAGAGAAAGAGGTAACTGGACCCCTTCTGTCTCCCCTACCTCAGCCCCCACTCTGGGCCGCTGAATGGTTCCTGTATCATGTTACCAGAACAGCTCAGAAGAATCCTGAATGACAGTTTTTGTGTCTTCCAGGCACGAAGGCGAATCATGGAGCGTGATGGTCTGAGTGAAGCTGCTGCCCAGAGCCGCCTACAGAACCAAATGAGTAATCAGCAGCGTGTGGACCAGAGTCATGTGGTGTTGAGTACACTCTGGGAGAAACATATTACCCAAAGACAGGTAAGGGGATTGGATAGGAATCTGAGGGGAGGAATGAGGGGTGAGCCCCCTTTGACTAATATGTCTGCCTTCCCACAATTTTCCTCTGAAGGTGGAAAAAGCCTGGACACTTCTGCAGGAGCGAATCAAGACCCAGTAATTCACTCGTGGAGACTTCTCCATCTGATCCCGGATTAATGATGATTGATGAATGTGGTGTGGGAGAGCCGCACAGGGCAGGTCCTGCCCTTCGCTAGAGGAGGGCTCCTGGGGTATTCCCCAGGGGCAGGGCCCAGACATTCGCAGTGCTGAGCGGCTCGGGCTACGGTGCGATGGGGCAGGTTGGAGGCCGGGTTGGAGGCACGGGCCGCCGGCAGAACCCCAGCACCCATGGCCCACCTGGAGGAGTACTCTGGGGCCCCAAGACTGGCTGGGACCAAGGGTGTAGACACTAAAACTAATTAAAGCCGAATTTTCCTGTAAGGCGCTGGCTTACTGTGCTCCTTGTTTCCTGGGAAGGTGGCTGTGTGAGCCACACTTGGAGGTCCCAGCCCAAATTGTGGCCGGGGTGAAGGGACTAGAAGGCTTCGAGGCCCCGCTGCTGCCACCCTATGACCATAACCAGCCTGCATCCCGGCCGCTGTAACCAGTCCCGACTAAACCTGTGGGAATTGTGGGAATTGTAGTCTCTGAACGGCCGGGAGGGAACGTGTCTTCGTTTACGTTACGTAAAGCAAGCGCAAAAGCAAATGACCACGCTAGAAAATCCCTCGCGCCTCCCCCCCTTTTTTTTAATTAATGTGGACTGCTCGATCGTCAGAAAATCTTGACTTAGGGGAGTGACTGCCGTAAGATAAGGACAGAAAACGCCGTTACTCCTCCATACTGGAATTTAAATTCTGGCCTAACACCCTTATAAAATGCTGGGTCCAGTTCACCCTTCTCCCCTGCGCAGGCGCAGCGCGCCTTCCTCCCACGCCTTGGGATTGGTGAGCTACGGACCAGATGGCCTCGGGCCCCGCCCATGGGCGGGGGCCTACACTCGGCGTTTCCGGTTCGTTCGGCCTGACAATGACGGAGCAGGGCGCCTCTCTGGACGACCCCTGGGTCAAGGCAAGCCCCGTGGGCGCGCACGCCGACAAGGGGAGGGCGGGTCGGGCACGTGCACGCAGGGGGAGTGGGAGAGCGGGGGTTTCCCCCGCTTCCCCCCAGTTCTCCCTGCCTCGCCCTCAGGGGCTCGGGGCTGGGGGCTGCAGAGACAGCCCCAGCCCCACTGGTGCCCAAGTGGGGAACCAAGAGAGCGGACTGTGTGTGATTGCCTGCGGCGCGGGGGGCGGGGGGCGGGGGGCGGGGGGCAGGGGCGGGGGCTGCGCCCGCAGCCGGCTCCGGGCGGGGTGGAACCTGAGCGGCGTCCCTACCCCCACAGGTGGAGTATGCGTACGGTGACAGCAGCCTGGATCCCGGTGAGTGAGTAACGCGACCGCCGCCCCTGCCCCCTCGGGGTGTCGGGATGGGGGCAGGGTGTGCCCCGGCCTCCAGGTATCGGACGGGGGAGGGAAGTAATGGGTCTCCCTCTGTCATGCAGCTAAGTAGGAGCCTTAGGGGTTCGCGAGGCATTGAATGACCAGCCCAGGGGGGGAGGGAAAGAATTGTTGGGGGTCTGGAGCCAACCTTGGTGTCCAGCTACTGCCCAAGGGTCCGAGGACGTAATTTCTTCTTGGGTGCCTCTCTCTTCCAGGGCTCTTTGTAGAAAGTAACCGAAAGGGGAGTGTAGTGTCCAGGGCCAATAGTATTGGCTCCACCAGTGCTTCCTCAGTCCCCAATACAGGTAAGCAACAACCCCCTTATCCTCGCTTCCACAATCATCTTAGGCTCTTTTCCTGCAAGAACTCCATTGTTTGCAGAGATCTGGGGTTTCAATACAACATCCAGAACTAATTTTCCCACTAACATATGAAGCATGAGGGTCTCCAAAGACTGATTTGGGTCTTTAAGATTAGGATTACCTCACCTCTGAACTCCAAGACTAAGGCACTTCTTTGTGCCACTCAATTTATAGACATCTTGCTACTTTCTGACCCAACAGATGACGAGGACAGTGATTATCAACAGGAGCCCTACAAGGAGTCATATAAGGACAGGAGGCGCCGAGCCCACACACAAGCAGAACAGAAGAGGAGAGATGCCATCAAGGTGAGGGGGAACCCTGAACCCCTTGACCTTATTCAGGTCAACTATGGCCTCGAATCCAAGGTTGAAGTGTCTGGCATGTGACCTGTATAACAAGC